AGCTAATGGTGGATTGGCATGTGGTGATCCGAGTATGTCTTGATGTGGGAAGTCAAGGTCTTGATGGATAGCCAAGCCTTGATGAGGAACCCCATGAATACTCGAAGAAAGAATGAGGGCCTTGGATTCACACTTGAGGGGGAGATGTTGAGGAATCCAAGTGTGAATGATTGAGTGAAAAAAAGTCCCACATTGGTTAAGAATGGACTAAGTGAGCACCATATAAGTGGAAGGACCCATGCACCTAATGCCTTAAGGTTTTGGGTTTGATTGTGGTGTTCTGAGCCCACTTAATGTTGCTGCTCACTTGGCCCATGGTTGGAGGTCTCTCTTCGCCATGAGCTCCCCCCGTGCACGGCCCAAGATTTCGTTCCCCCCACAAACTCCAAGCTATCACCCCAAAGTACAATGACCAAGATTTGTCTATCTGAATCGAACCTTGCAATCCTAGATTCCTTTGAACCCATTGATGGAGATCCATGGAGAAGAATTCATTTCAATGCTCATGAGGCGCCCAATGCTCCCATAAATCTCTAGAACAAGGGCAATCTCTAATGGCATGTAAGCTATCCTCATGATGATAGTGTGACATCTCAAGCAAGCTGCATTTGATGTCATGTGAAGTTGCATTCTACGAGCATTGGTTAATAGATATCTTCCATAAAGAAGCCAAAATAATTGTCTAATATGTTCACGGCTAGGCCAAGCCCAAATTCCATTCCAAATTCTCTCCTAATGAGATTGCGTTACTCCAATGAGTAAGTTGTACGCTGATTTCACTGAAAAAGCTCCATCTTGACTACCTGTCCAGATTACACGGTGCGAAGTAGAATCCCTCCATGAGGAAGCACATTACGAATCTTGTCCAACACTGGAGGAGGTAATACGTGTTGGAATAAAGGCCAGTCCCAATGACCATAATTGGTTACAAATTGTGACGCAGTCCAATGAAACATTATAGGGGGTATAGATTGGACTGCGAAAGAAGAAAGTTGAGAACACCCTGGAATCCACGAGTCTAGCCAAAAAGATGTTTGATCCCCAACACATTACAATAGCTTTCCATAAACCAGAATCATTAGCTGAAGCTGAGGTGCTTGGAATGAGCCTCTCCTCCACCTTATACTTGCAATGTAGGACCCAAAATGAGTCTCTCCTCCACCTTATACTTGCTATATAGGACCCGAACCCATAATGTGTTACTATCAGTCATGATTCGGTGTCCCAATTTCATGATAAAAGCCTTATTATTCTCTTTAATTCTGCGGATTCCAAGTCCCCCAAATTTCTCGGCAAACACGTCTTCTCCCAAGAAACCAGATGAGTTTTCCTTCGATCAGTAGTTGATCCCCAAATAAAATTCCTTGTTACACTCGATCGCACGTACTACTTGGAATAATGCAAGTTTGCATAGGATATTGGAGAACCGCAATGAGCATTGACCTGGCTAGCGTTGATCTTCTAGCCAAAGAAAGAGTACGCTGGTTCTAGCCATTCAGACGAGCTCGCATTCGATTCAGAATGTAGTCAAATGTATTCTTTGTAACTCGGCTATGACGAAGGGGAATCCCCAGGTATCTACCCAAATCATTAGTATGAGAGTAACCCGGCTCAAATTCTGCACTAAATCAACTAACAAAATTTTGTTCACAACATAAAACGGAAAAAATACTAATTACTATACCCCTTATTTTTCAGCACCGTTGAGAAGTAATGCACAACACAAAAAGTACTATAATAAATTTTACGTTATCCTATCCAGTATTTATGCATATTAAATAAGGGAAATGTTTTTCTTATGTTATTGGAGATATGTTATCTTATGTTAGTGAAATAAAATGATAAGATGGACGCACAAATAATTGAAAAGAGAAAAAAAGAGATGAGACCCACATTTGTTATGTGTGTGTAGAAATTTGGTTTATCTCATGTTGAATGAGATAAATACAACCCATTAAATAATAGCTATCACAAAACTTCTATTTATGTGCATTAATCATCAAATAGCTAATAATATAAAAAACTGTTCAATAGCTTGATCACTTGTATGGTTTTGTTTATATTATCCCTTATCAGCCACAATTCTCTCGGTCTTAATACTAGACTAGATAATTAGATTTTTCTTTTTTGGCTAGAATTTTTACAAAATGAGTATAAATAGTTTCCATCACTTTAACGTATTTAACAGTTATTTTTGAATTTTTTTTACTATTATCTGTGCAACGCATCTATCTCCTTCGGAAGCCCTGTGAAGATAATGAAGGTAGACGTCAGGGCTCATTGAGGTGGCAGATAGTACACTTGTGACGCTTCAGCGATTGAGGTTGATGATCGCTAGTTTCCCTTTGATGAAACTAGGGTTGTGCATGGGTCAGGTCAGGTCAGATTTTTGTCCGACTCGATCCAACTTGGTTTTTATAGGTTAGGTATTTTGACCAGACCCGCTTTAATTTGATCCAAATCAGGTTTGACTTGGTTTGGATTTTGTTGAACTAGTTCAGAACCGGGTCGGATCTGACCTGACTTGATTTTTGAAGTGGGTCTGACTTAATTTCTGAACTGGGTCACATCTGACCTAACCTGTTTTTGACTTGGTTTCCTCACAAAATTTCGTTGAAATTTCTACGTTGCAAAAGACGAAAAATTTCGTCAAAAATTATTTTTTCGTCTGAATACTTTTTGTCGAAAAGGGACAAAATTTTTTCTCTAATGAAAATTTTTACAAAAATAAATTTTCTATCGAAATTTACTTTCCGTCAACAGTTTAGACGAAAATGATTTGTTCCATCAAATGTTTTAAACGAAAAAAGAATTCTGCCAAAAATTTTGACGGAATGTTTTTCGTTCAAAATTTCGATGGGAATGTGTTGTGACGAAAATTTCGACGGAAATTGTTTCAAGAGAAATGTTTCATTCGAAACTTTCGACGAAATTTAGATTCTCTAAAGAATTTTGACAGAATATTTTTTCCGTCAAAATTTTTTATCAAAATATTTTTTGTTAAAAATTTGTATGAAATTTTTTTACAAAAATGTATTTCGTTGAAAATTTTGATGGAAATATTTTTTATTAAAAAACTTGATGAAAATATTTAGATGAAAATTTTCGATGGAAATGTGTTACGCTAAAAATTGCTACGAAATTTTTTTTTTGTCAAAAAGTTTAAGAAAAAATTTTTCGTCAAAAACTTTCGCCGAAATTTGAAATCTGTAAAGAATTTTGAAGAAATTTTTTTCCGTCAATTTTTTTTTATGGAAATGTGTTTCGTCGAAATTTTTGATGGAAATTGTTTTGAAGGAAATTTTTCATTCGAAACTTTCGACGAAATTTAAATTCTCTAAAGAATTTTGACAGAATATTTTTTCCATCAAATTTTTTTATCGAAATATTTTTGTCAAAAAATTTTACGAAATTTTTTTACAGAAATGTGTTTCGTAAAAAATTTTGATGGAAATATTTTTTATCAAAAAACTTGACGAAAATATTTGGTCGAAAATTTTCGATAGAAATATGTTTCGCTAAAAATTTCGACGAAATTTTTTTTGTCAAAAAGTTTAATAAATATTTTTCCGTCAACAACTTTCGCCGAAATTTGGAATCTGTAAAGAATTTTGATGAAATTTTTTTCCCTCAAAAAATTTCGATGGAAATGAGTTTCGTCGAAATTTTTGATAAATATATTTGCTTGTGAAATATTTTAACGAAAAATTTAGATTCCGTAAAAAAATTTGACAAAAAAAATATTCCTGTCAAATTTTTTTACAGAAATTTTTTTAGTCACAAATTTTGATGAAAATATTTTTTGTCAGAAATTTTTGCGAAAATTTTTTATGGAAATTTTTTTCGTAAAAAATTTTGACGTAATTGTTTTACGTTAAAACTTTTCTTTTAATGTAATTGTGATTTTTTATTTTTTTTTTCACATAATGAGTATGAATCAAGTTTTGGGACAATGAGTTAATATTAAAACAAGTCAGGTCTAAAACTGACCCAAATAAAAGTGGGTCATTATTTAAACCAGTTCGAGAAATATGGGTATTTATGAGTCAAGTCAAGATCGGATCAAGAGCTGGACAAGTGAACCAGTTTTTTTGCACACCCCTAGATGAAACTAAGTGGAGTCCGAATATCATGAATAATAACTCGGTCGTTTATAATAGATGATTTTTAATTTTAATATTTGCTAATCTTACGCCCTGGGGATATTAAGTCAATGAACACCAGCATCCAACAGCCCAATGAACAGGAACAAATGGTCCAGAAGTCTTAACCAACGTCAACTAGGGATTACACCAAAGCTTTTGTAAGTTACATTGGATTAGTTTATATTGTTTCATTGCTTATAACCATTAACCAAAATGCTCCAGAGGTAACTTTTGGGTGAAAAACTTAGTACAAAATAAGCTAACTCTTTGCACCTAGGTTACGCGGTTAATTTTTGGTTCACTCACGCATAGACCAAGTGAACAACAACCTTTGAGATCTTTTTTTCTGAATGGGTGGGAGGTGCCAGTAGATTATATATTTTCAAGACATAAGTTGATTCGTAACTTCGCTAAATTTGGTCGCTTATGATCCCGGCCTCTTATTCCTCACCCAGCCCCCTCCCTTCTTCAGCAATACACGAGATATACATAGATCTTGACAAACGGTTATAACTATATTTTTCCACAAAGACATCTCTGCATAGACATTTCGAAATGTTTAAAATAAAATATCTATAACAGGACCGAGTGATCCGTGTATGGGATGGGAAAATGGGAAAGAAAAAATGATGCAATTCCAAGGTTGTAAGACAAGTTGGTGTATGCAAATGAATGGTAAAGCAAAAAAAATAACGTCGTCTATCTTTCTCTCTTTCTTTCTTTTTAGTACATAACGTCGTCTATCTCTGGCTTATAATGAAATTTACAAATAAAGAATAAAGTAAATAAAAATAAAAGAAAGGATAACAGAGCGGGAGAGAAAAAAGGAAAGAGGGAGGGGGGGGGGGGGGGGGGGCGGTGTTATCTGCATCATATACGAGCAACGTAGGAATTTGCCTGTGTAACATATCTAACCCACCGATATGGCTCATGCGTTCCAGATTTCTTTCCTATCTGCAAATATTTTACCTGCACTTGGAAAATGTTAAATGTATTCAGCATTTGGCAAGTTCAATTGAATCTTTCTTTATTTGCTAGACTTTGGTTATGCAATGCTCAATATGTAGATGGCAAAGTTTTTTTCATGTTCTGCTTTAGCAAATGCCTTTTGGCACCCATAAATTTGATTTCTCAAATAATTTAAAGAAATATCGAACATTTGACATTAGCAGAATTCCTAATTTAACTGGTCCAAAACTTGGAATGGTATGTTTCTCCAGCTTGATTTAGAAACAGAAAAAACGAGGTTGCATAAAAGTAGGGGTAGTACAGCTGGCAGTCCATAAAAATGAAATGACATTCACATTGATTATTTAATTATCATCTATTTAAATCCCACCCCCACTTTCCCAGGCAAAAAAATAAAATCCCTCTACCAAACGTTAAATACAATGGCAAGACTGACAAGACTACCAGCATAACCAAGACTACCAAACGTTAAAATCCCACCCCCATATTCAGGGATGACTGACAAGACTACCAGCATAACCAAGTTTGAAACAAGACTGCTCAAACGCGGAAAATACAAACCACATGATAAAATAGAGAACAAGAAATACAATGGCACATCTAATATGAGCTAATGTTAAATACAAACAGTTTTAAGGAGATCTCGGAATGAACATAATCAAATCAATCTTGTAGGGGTAGCAAAAGTTTGATAGGACACCTTTGATAGAGGAAAGATTTTTGGTCAAATCAAAACTAGAAAAGAAAGTCAGCAAGTAGTCATGATCAGTTTACCTGAAGCCGGGATGCATTATACATTGGTATAGTAAATGTCATGCTTACAGGTCCAGATTCTTTAGTTATAATACCTGTTAAGAAATAAATTTGCACAAATATGATATATTAAGCATTCAACCAAAGAAAAAACAAACTATCCATCCTGTGCATGCACTAGCTATAAGGATAAATACCGTGTGATTCCTGAGAAAAGGTTAGCTTCGCACGTAAAGTATGCTCAGATCCCCCAATAATCTGTTTCGTTGCACTTATCAGTGACCTTTTTCTCCAGAAAAATAATAATGACCAGAGGACACCTTATGACAGTAATGACACCCAAAAAAAAAGGCTTGAGAAATGATAACAAATAATACCTTCTTTAAATTCCATTCTAGCCTCTTATTTGCTTCCTTAAAATCACTTGTTTGTCCAACAGCTCCAGGTTCCAGCTCAAAACTAACTCTGGACAATTCCATATAACAACTTGCATCAGCAACTATATACCAGCCATCATTAATAACTTGTATGCATATTTTCATATATAAGGAATGTCATTTTCCTAGGTTCCCGTATTGGAATTTATCCATAGGACAAATGAGCAAGAAGCGTGATATGCTAACCTTTACAGTAAAGTTATAGAAAGTGCTCCACAAACTACCTGATGACATTCTTTTGACATTTATTCATTGCTTTGTTAGATTCTACCATATGCAACGCAAAGCGTTAGATATGAAACTATTCATGAGATTTCACTTAATAGTTTAAACTTTAAGGAGAGTTAGTCCTTGATATGGTATCAGAGTCTCAATGATTAAGTGGTTAAGAGTTCGATCCTTGCTATCTCGATTCTTCAAATAAAAGTTGACCTTTAGCTTAAGGTAAAGCGGGTTGTGCAAAGTGAACTTTAAGCTCAAAGAGATCTTGCGTGAGTGGGTATATTATATATAAAAACTATTTATGGACCTTCACTATTACAGCTTAAACTTAAGAGTTGGTCTTTTGACAGTTGACACAATTGAAGTCTCAAATTCTTTCAATATTGACATAAAGGTCCATTGAAATCTTTTTTCGAATCACACTGTCTACACATGTTCAGACTTTATATAATTAAATGGTGTGAAATACATCACTGTGCCAATGATCACAAACAAGTGATTTAACAAATGATTCGATAATATCTCAAGAGTCTAGTCATACACATTTATTGACAGTTAAAAGTCTCTGTTCAAATTTCTTTCAGCATAAGCATTGGTGAAATACAACCATGTTGCCCTAAGGGGCACCTGTTAAAATTTATTTTTAAATAATTAGACTATATAATTAGTTCCCCCTAAATATTGTTTTCTTAAAATCAATCAACAATCCCTTCCAGAGTTCTAAACCTAGCTCTACTCCTATGCAAAACCTATTAGGTGTACTTTAGTAAGACAAAACCAAGGCCAAGATTTCAAAGACTTCAATTTTTGGATGCATGAACAAGTTCTGTCAAAGATCCAATTAATAGAAAATCCATGTCAAAGATACTTTCGGTCATTTATTGAATGATGTAGCGAAGTATAGAATAACACCTGGTGGTATATTTTGGTAGTGGCATCTGCACTTTGATAGTGTTTGCTGTTACACTTGAGGCAAACTCAGCACTTACTTTAATGATTACTTCTGCCTGCAATATCAATTTCATTAGTGTTAGTGAGTCCAAGGAAAGACAAATGACTATAAGATTTGATATAGAACGGCTTAAATTGACAATACACTAAAATATTTAACAATGGAAAATTGTATCTTCATAATTTTTTTTGTTACAATGAAAGGGATATGGGTATAGGGATCTCTGCATAAGAGAGAGAGAGAGAGAGAGAAAATTTTGATACAACATCTTCATAACTTGACACATTATTCAATTTGATACATTCTAACACATCTTCGTAATCTGACACATTATTCCAATTTGATATATTCTAAAACATCTTAGTACTTTGACACACTATTCCAATTTTGAGACGAATGTTACAATGGTGCAAAAAGAATTTTTAAAAGGGACATATAGAATTATGACAATATTATTCCTCAACTACCATTGTATTGTTCAAGAAAACACAACTGCATCTTAAAGGGTTGTTAACCAAAAGATAAAGCATATGAAGAAAAATAAAATAAATAATGAAAAGTAGGCATCACCTTATGCAACCCTGCTTCTTCAATCAAAGCATTAATACGAAAAGGAGGCCTAAATTCCTGGGTCATACGGTAGTTCATGACCGGAAATTCACCATCTGGTGGTATCTGAAAATTGGCAGCATGAGACAACCATCAAATCGAAGAATCAAAAGGAAGCAAGCCAACAAAGTACTTCTATATTCTGAAAATTATATTATCTTCAATACTATTTCGTACTCACCAGGGATAGAGTTCTATCCATATCAAAACTATCAAGACGAACAGATTCATGGAAATTACAGTCATCTAATATCACAACTCCTGAGCCAGATGAACTCTTATAACCTGCTTCAGAAACATTTCAAAATAAGTTACCAAAATAATTACAAATTTTGGAAGACCACATGAAACAATTGTTTATATTTGAATCAGTGAGAAATCTATGGTAACAGATACAAAAGCAATAATAATGAACAGTTGAAGAAATTAACATAATGCCCCCTAAGTTAAGTCAGAGACAGGTCCACTGCAAAAGCACCAACAAACACGCAAAATTGGTGATCATCATATCAAATGAAATATTAGTTAACCAAAATCCATGAGATAAAAATATGGCTTCCACAGCCCAAAATCTAGAAGAATGAAATCCTAAGCATGAATGTTCAATTGTGAAGGAGGAGAGAACCAGAAATGAAAAACCACCAAAATTGAAAAAAGATACCGTAAACTGGTCCCTGGCCTCTTCCTATGGCAAGGTCTTCATTAAGAGCTACTCGAATTTCAGGATTGCCAGTAAGATAGCTCTTCATTTGTATGGTGCCATCAATCTCGGAAGTCAGTATATATCCCTGATCAAAACACATTAAGAATACTAAGAATGATAAACAGAACATATAACAAGTAAACCATTGAAAATACAACCAATAATAACAAAGCCTTATCACACTAGGTAACACAAATCAACAACAACAAAAGCCTTTTCCTACTAGATTGAGTCAGCTACATACATTAAACAATGCCATTTTGTCAAAAACCAAGTTTTTAGAAAGGCCTTTAGATCTAGGTCTTCTTTAATGCCTTTTTTCTTTGGCCTTCCTCTGTCCCTATTTATTGGGTTATCCTCCATCTAATCAATTCTTCTTACTAGGGCTTCTCTTGGTCTTCTCCTCATGTGGCCAAACCAGAATCTTTAGGCATGATTCTGTCATACATTCCTCAACAGGTGCTACTTTTACTTTCTTTATGACACATTCATTCTTGACATCATCTTATCTTGTATATCCACTCATCCACCACAAACATTTTCATTTTGCAACACTTAGTTTTATTATCTTGTGTGAACTTTACCACCTTACGTTCTGTACCATAAAGTATCGCTGGTCTACTATAATGCATCATAAAAAAATTCATCCAAAATTGACTCATTATGTTTCATTAAAGGAGTTAAGCCTTTCCATTCTGCGTTTAAGAAGTGAAAAGCCAGTAAATGGATTTTTAATTGAAGTTGATGGTTCTTTACTTAGATTAAATAACTTTCAAGTACTCATGAATCAAGACTCGAATCTGATCTCTGATATCCAGGCCCTAAATTCATAATTTTTTTGGTCAGTTAACATCCTGAAAACCATAAACAAATCTTCTTTACTTAATGATACAGGACAAATGAATAAATAATGGAAAATATTATGAAATTTAGAGTCATATAAGATGTATCATGTATGAACTCACACTAGAGCTAAAAGTGATGCTGATTTTCTCAATTATATCTACAAAGATTTCCTCCCTCCTTCTACCCCCGGGCTCTGTGGCAACAACAGATTTTGTGACAGCTATCCCTGGCATTCTCTTTGTCCCTTGCTGCATGCAACCAAAATTAAGAATTAATAATATCAAATGTGCAAGTGATAATTACACAACTAATAATTGCCTGATGTAAAACATATTAAACATCATACCGCAAAAATTGCAGCAGGTCCAAGAGGTGACAGATGTGCAGCATCAATTACAATTGGTTCATTGAAAACATAGGACTTCAACAATTCAGTTGATGTTGTTTGCACATAACCAAAATCCTGGCTCAAATAATGTCATCAAGTCCCTCATATATAAGATTCTTGGAAACATAACTGATTGACTATAAATCTCAGGTTAAAGCAGGAGTAAAACATAAAAAGAATAATTTGCGAATAGAAATTTTCCATTCTTTAAAAAGAAAAAAGAAAAAACCAGATACAGCATCTATCAGAAATTTAGAGTGGTTTGTACTTTCTTTTGTACTCCACCATATCTATAGGACGCTACAATTACTAACTTTCCAAAGAATTACTTCTTATTGATAGCAAGACTCAATAGTGAAGAAAATGAGCCTCAAGTGTGAAGATTAGATACCCAAAAAAGAAGAAGGGGGAAACAGCCAGGATAAAGTGATGATTAAATTCAATGAGGAAGTATTACAGGTGAGAAACATAATACATAAATTAGGTTTTAAAGAAGTAAAGAACCAAATGGAGTATGAGAGGAAAGCTCACAATAACTTCATCAAGTAACTCGTACACAAGCACAAAGTTTTTTCTCAAAGAGTCTTCATTGAGAATCCCAAGGTAATCTTTAATAACACGAGCAATTCTTTGTAAAAGCTCCAAGACAAAGGAAGGTGATGTATTAACCCTTGTAGTTGCAACGAACAATAAGCCAACAACTTTCACATGAAAGTAATTTACACCATCCACATTCTGTCAACAAACAAACAACATAACACAAAAGAAATCATCATATTCTTCGAGAAGAGATGCAAATGACATAACATGAACAGACATTCAAAGCTTCAATAAAAATCATTTTATAAGATCTAAACACACATTTTTTATTTTCAGGATATTTTATATTTGACATATTACTACCAAAATCATAAGCAGATGGAAATAACAAGTACCAATAATGGAGAATTGATCTAAAAATTCTGCGTAAGTTCAGTAAATTGAAGGTGGGACATAGCAATAATTAGCATCAATGGTCATTCATTTACCAAGTAACAACAGACATGATCTCTCTTCTCCCTCCTTTTTACATTGGCATTCTTAAAATTTCAACCTTTTCAATTGTATCATGCAAAGCAAAGTTGTGGGACTGTGGATATTCTAAGGTGGTTGATGTCCCAATGAAAATAACAACATTATTTGATAGAGAGAAAACTAATCCAGGGAAAACAAGAATATGCAATTATTAGTTGTGTTACATACTCATTTCAAGGCTAAAGCACATTAAAATATACTCTGCCTGATTCAGAAAGATAATACCTACAAAGACAGGTGGTGCCTCTGCCGACTCCCCATCTTCCCAAAACTTTACTTTGCGAAAAAATATCTCTGCACTTCCCTTCTGCACCTCACCACGGTCTGCAATCAAGACAAATGAGTAGCAATAGGCACTGAGAGTTTGACAGTTAAAGTTCCAAGCATTAGGATAGGTTAAAAATATTAGTTAATATAAGGACTCCCGTACAATTACGGATTTCTAGTGATAATGTTGTTCACTCTACTCCATTCAATCTTCTCAAAAACACTTCCGATTTAGAAGAAGCCATATGTTAGCATTCCATTCAGCAGCATAACTTAATATTTTAAGGTTCAATTAGCTTGACCTACGAAATCTGAAATTACAAGCAGCTAAACAAAATTGGTAAAACACCGTGAGGAAACTGAAAAAAGAGACGAGGTAAAACCAGAAGCACCAACAAGATTTTGAACTTTGGTTAAAGAAACTCCATTGGCAGCAATAGTGCAATGCTCCCAAATTTTCAGAAACTTACAGTAAATTTAATGAGCATATAAAAAAACATTTTCAGAGTGTGTTATAGGCCAGCATCCAATACAGATCTCACCAATTATCAGTCCAAATCGTAGTCTTCTCTTGAAATCCATATCCACAAACAGGTTCCAAATTTTAAGTTTTAACTAATATAGATGTATTCCAATGTGCTTAAGCTCGTGCAACAAAATTTAAAGGTGTATATATCTCATCAACATATCAGTACTCATACAATAAAAAGAAATTAGCAACACGAAATTCACGTTTCTTAATTTTCCCAGGGAATTAATTAGTAATTAGCACGCGATTAAGATGTGATTCAAGTAAGATCTGGAACCGTAAACTTGAATTACTGAACATTGAGTTAGCGATATTCTCGCTGAACAGAAAGCTAAACTAAAACACTCTAGCTGAAGATTAATCCATCGAAAAATTAGATCAAACATATAGCATCAGATCCAAACGCAGAGGAAACAAAAGTCGCAATAGAAAAGTATGGTTAAGAGAGAGAGAGAGAGAGAGAGAGAGAGAGCTCACAGTCTCGGAAAACGATGTTATCGCCACGCTGTGATAGGACGAAGAACTGCGAGATCATGGTTCCGCTCGATGCACGCACCTCCTGCAGCTGCTTCCTTTGTTATGGCTACTTTCTAAGAACTGAACAATCTTCGTTGCAATTAACGACTGAATATATATATTTGTAATATTTGAATTCGTTCAATACTATTGGACTTTTTTTTGTGCATCATAATTATTTTTTTGGTACAAATAATTGTAATTATATTATAATTTTATGCGTATATCTATAATTATTTTGTTCTATTAATCATATTGTTCATCGGTAAAAAATATTTTTGAAAAAAATTGTTGTCAAAGAATTTTCTCCCTAAACTTAGTTAAGTTTTCTAAGTTGTACAGAAATGGAAATTTATATTTTTTGGTGAGGATATTTGGGAATGTCAATGATGGGACAGCACGGTTGAATGGAATTATTGTTTTCTTGAAAATTATAACAATAAGAAGACACAAATTATTTCTAAAATTTGTATAATTCTATCAATTTAAGCCTTTTTCATTGAGAATTTTATTTTGATGTAAATTTCTTTATGTTATCATTTTATCGAATTACTTATTTACAAATTATTAAAAAAATATTATACAATTACTATAATAAAATTTTAACTTTTAAATAATGTGTCTTAGAATATTAAATGTTTGGCTAACTATACATTAAATTTACATTCTTTTATTAATGTAGGTGGACAATTATCGCTACAAAGTATTAACAGTTTAGATTGCATAGATAAAGTAGAGATAATGAGCGAAAGTATTGTTATGAAAACCAAATTGGAATACTCGATTCGATCGTGGATCAGTTAGGTATTTGGTCTACATAATAAAAAAATATCAAATGATCAAAGAATTGGTCTAACACTGGTTTTAGCTGATTTTTTTTTTTTAATTCAACCAAAAAACATTTGACTATTACAATCATGACAAAGTTGACACGGTATTCAGCATAATTCATTCCTTTAATTCATTTACAGGCAGAGACTAGCATTTAACATAAGTTTTATTGATTGATACGCCACCAATTGACTTCAGCCCCATGAATGGCAGGTGTCAAGCCTGCTGGTGAAGCAGCAGAATCAGCACCAGAATTCTTGTTCTTTGAGAGCATAAGTGCCTCCACCTTCTTTAATACTGCATTCTTTAAAATCAAGTGTCCATTTCTCAAACGAGCAATTGGAAAAATTATAGTATCCTCCATGAAGAGAAAGCAACTCTCTTCTCACTCTATCTTCTATCCAAGGATAACTGAGCAAGTTCAATAATGATTGGTTAACAGATTCCTGTAGCAAATTAAATGAACATCACTTTAATTGCCTTCCAAAATGATAAGACTACCAAGAATTTACCTGTGAGGGGCACATAACTATTTTAAGTACATTTGATTACGTTTTAACAGTATTATCAGTGGATTGAAGTCTTCCTAAGAGTTCTTAATGGCAGGTTGACATAATTTTGCAGAGTATAAAGAAATATGATGGATACCTTCTCACAGAATTTGCATTGCTGACTAAAGCAAAGATGAGCTGTGGTAGCTTTTGTGCTCAATTTGGCAACTTTCCCATTAGCAACCCACTTGTTAATGAAGTTTCTGAAGGATGAATGAGTTCTAATGAGAACTAGAGCAATAACAACAATTTTATTGGTGAAATACTATACTTTGAGCTGCAGTAGTTTGCACTACATACCTTGATTCTACATCTTCCTGCATGCTCATCAGAGTTTCAATTCCAGCACAGCGGCTATGACCAATGATTAATATGTTCTCAACCTAAAAATTTCAGCAACCATTTTAATTATGCAGTTGTATAGGGCATAACCTACTACAGCATACACACTCAAACACAAGACAAAAACAGCAAAGTTATTTTTGTAGTCCCTAGCAGCTTCTCTATTTTCCTGGTTCTTCCTACCACCCTTGTCATAACAAAGAAATTTGCAGTACCATCTCCTCAATAAAATTCTCATGAATAAGCGCGTACCTGAAGAATAGTTACCGCAAACTCAAGAGCAGCATTACACTCTGATGGTCCATTCTGCTCTCCAACAGAAGAAAAAAATGATGAGAGGAATAACAATTAAATATAGTTTGAATGTCCCGTTAATTGAATAGGCAAAAATAATCAGAAGCAATTATGCAAATACCTTCATCACTGGTACAAGATTGGCAATGTTACGTATCATAAAGGCCTCACCAGGTTGGAATCCTAATATGTTAGAGGGGCATACCCTAGAGTCTGCACAAGCAATTACCATAAACTGTACTTGGATTTATCAGTCAAGACCAATGGAGCAGTACAACATACAGGAACCCAAGAAATTGAGCTAAAAGGTAATGCTGTGGAGAGTATTCATGAAAAAAGAAGGAATAGTTCAGTAACAAAAAAATTAAATGGACTTTGTAAATCTGTTTGTTATCACCTTCGGAGATTGAGCTTCAGCAAGAGCTTGAAAATGCTCCAACTCTTTTCTGTCTAAAAGAAATATAGCTTATAAGATACTAGGCTAGCAACAAGTGACACATTTTTGCAAAGCTGAAACAGGAAAAAATGTGCGACCCAACTCTTACATATATTTTTGTTTCTTGAAACCCAGAAACCTCTTTTTCATCAAACCAAATAAATTCTGGTCACCATCAGTTTCAGTCATATTCCCTATATCAAGACCTTCATTTTCTCCACCGAGTCTGAGACAATTATTTGGAACCTCTGGTTGTTTTTCCCTACGGTTGATGAAAACAAATGGCATAATTGTAATCAAACGTTGCTTTTAAATCCAAATTCACAATTTGGCACAGACTGGTCAAAGAAAAGTGTAAACAATCATAGTTTAATTATCAGTATATTAAGAGAAAGCAACGTTTGATTTAAAAGCAATCTAAACGTTTTTTTTTTTTTTTTTTTTCTGGTACATAAATTCCCTGTTTTATGGACTGAAAAGAACGAAGATAATCTTTGCAAGCTTTTATATGGTATGGCATCAATCTAAATCAGCATGGAATTTATGTCCACGTCACAAAGAAACAACTGAGGTAAAAATGACCGATTCATCATCAATCAGAAAGACATAGTCTTGTTATGCATGAAACTTTTCTAGTGAAAAGCAAATTTATAGGGGTATTTATCTTCAAGCAAAGAATTCAAATTATATAGTTTTTTGTACAACGAATTTGTTCCAAGTGAAGAGCCATACAAGAGGCAAAATTTCCAACCAACATACCGAAGATGAAAATTATCCGACCACAAAATTTATTGTAGTTAACTTAAGTAATAGCAGGAAAGAAGAACAAGCCTTTCCACAAGAAGTAGCAGCCCACAAAGAGAAACCCAGTAGTTTGAACAAAATTTACGGATAAAATTAAGTCCTCACCAACTCCAACTTACTTGAATGAAGGCAACGATGCTGCTACACGGGAACCATCCGTTTTTACCCGATTCATCTAAAAACCCAACAAGAAGAGAGGAAAGGAAACAAATCAATATCAGAACCAAACATTAAAATAAACATCAAAGAAAAATTTATGGAGAAAACTATGTTTGATTAACAGCTTATAGCATGAAAGGGAATTAGCCACTTGCTTAGAAGCTTGACATAGGAAAACGATGGAGAAACTCACAAATTTTGGCCAAGGCCTTGTTCTGTAGGAAACCACATAGGAGAAGGTTGGACCAGAAAAGGGTAAGCACCAGCATGAATCCCCATGGATGTATGAACCCACTAAAGATGCCTTTGTTCGGAGAATTGAACTCATTCTGGACCCTGTAATGCGTTAGCAAGAAATTTAATTACATTTATTAATTTAATTATATCACCAAAAAAAGAAAAAGAAAAGGAAAAAGACAACAACAACACTTCCTTCATAATTTGAAAATTGCTAGTTATAGCAATACTACTGTGGTACTTACGAATTGGCCACACCATATCTTCCTTTCTGTAAACAACTGCTGACTTCAAAACACAAACTACCTTTGCATCACATTGCATGCCATATTTATCCTTAAAGATAATTTATCCTTGTCTTTATTAATTATTAAAGTAATGTACATGTGTATATTTATTGTTTATGTAGTGGGATGACAGGATTCTCGGGGCTGATCATTGCAAAAAGACAAAGCATTGGAAGGATGACGTATAAGACACTCAATTATACAGACTTATCCGGTTATTACACGTAAGATGTCGTTATCCCATTTTGTGGGACTTCATTGCAGCCTAACATCAACGATATATCTATTATTGACTTAAATCGTCGATGTTGCAGGTGGCAATGCTATCTGCTCCTTTTGTTAATGCCATTCTTTAATTAATAAGGCTGCTAACTAACCATGAAACACTACTTCAAATACCTCAATTAATTATTTAGAGGAAAAAATGTTTATCCTTTTAAATGACATAATTTATATATTTTTACTCTCACAAAAAGTAAAATGACACAACTTTTTCTTCTCTTTTATCTATCTTTTTTTCTCTCTTAAAATAACACACATTTTTTGCTTATTTAAATTATAGAATTTTAGTTCAATGATTAGCCCATGTTCCCATTGGAAAGAGTGTTTTTTTATTTTATCTTTCCCGCACAAGATGTGACTTTCTTTATCCAAAATGAAATACTTTGCTGTCATTATGTAAAGAATCACTTCAATTCAAAATTTTAAGATGTTAAGTGAGGGCTTTTTTAATTATTTATATAATTCTTTAACACACCTCCTCATGCAAAAGCCCTTTAGGCTTAAAGCGTGGATATTACACAAGTCCAATTTTTGATTTACCTTTTGTGCATTTTTTTTATTTAATTCCACAAGTGGGAACGACGAGGATCGAACTCATGATCTTATGATCACTGAAGTTCTGATACCATGTAAACCCAAAACCTTAAGTATTAGGTAAGGGACTTTGTAATAATTTATATAATTCCCTAACGCATTAAAACTTCGAAGGTTTTATTTATATGAGAAGCATTGTTTAAGGTGTACAAAGTTTCCTAAAACACTACTTGCTTAAGTGTTCGATCTATTCAGCTAACAAAATTTGGCACAAAAAATCAGTGAAAAACTGGACAAATCAGTCTAAAACTAAAAAAACCTGAGGAAAATGGTGTTGAATAAGTTCTTTGAAAAATTTTAATTCAACTAAAATTTTTTCTGAGTCAAATATAGATCAATACCAAGTTATGAGGCCCACTTATAAGAAAGATAAGAGATTGACTACTCCCCTCTTACTTTTTATACACGTTGTTAGCTTGGCTCTTTTTAGTTTTTGCATGCTTATATGTTTAAATATTGCAGTATTCAATGTGAGAGTCTAATGCGCTATGCAACATATTGTTGGATGATTATCATTTAGTCTTTTAGTATTTCTTTTTTGTAAGATTTCATTAGTTCATACTAAATTAAAATTTTACTTAACTTAATTTTTATGATTTTATAGTAACTTATTACTTAATATATAATTAAAAATAATATCTAATCATCACGGATTTGGCGATGGTTAAACCATGATTAAATCAGTTAACCATGAACCATTTTTTTGTTGATTCAATAATCGGCTGAATTTTCACCAAAAAAAATAAAAATAAAAATAATAATCGGTTGAATTTTAAAAGCGTTGATCTTGCTTCACTTCTACATATTCATATAATAATTGCCAAGAAGTTTTAGAGTTAGTACAAGAAAAATTAACAAGCCATACGCTGCGAACATTATTAGCAAGCTAGTATCGACTGAAGAAACATCTACTGACCTACAGCTAAAGATGGGGTTCTCCATGTCGCCATGTTTTCTGATCCAAAACCCTAACTACTGCATATTTCTTGCAACTAAAAAAAAAAAAAAAAACTTAATTATGTGTTTCGTGTTAGAATTAGTCGACATTCCTCGACACGAAGGCACAGTCAACCTCACTAGTAGGCGAATCATAACTGTCCCGAGCCCGTTTCTGGCCCAAAACCACTGGGCCCATCCCAGAGCCCACCAAAGCCCGATTATCTATGACAGCCTTCAAAGCCCGTTCCAGCGCTCCAACTTCTTCTTCCTTTCTTGCATTACCACCACCACCATCAGGCCACTGTATCACCACAACACTCTTGGTTCGGCCCCCAACCGTCATCATCTCCGCGCGAACCGCCTTGGCCCGAACCGACCGGATTGCCTGAGTTAGGTCCCGGTTCAGACCGGGCCGGTCCTCGCAGCACACCGTCGCTTTCATCCGCCTCGGTTCCCCATCATCACCGTCGCAATAGCTCAGCGTCGCCTCATCAGACTCCCCGGGAAACGGCCAAGGCTCGGCATCCGCCACAGAACGAACCGAATCGCTTTCTCTCCCGCCGCCGCCGCCGCCGCCGCTGCTGCAGGATGACGACGAATCTCCCTCGTGACATCGCGCCACGTCATCGGCCTGAATCCTCAGCCGTTTCACGTGTTGAACCACTTCCGCCAGCAACGACGCCTTATCCGACTGCAAAACCGCACAAACTTTGGAATTTACCACTGTGCCCTCGAATCATGCACCGGAAACAAATAATGAGAATTGAGAAATATTAACGAGTTTTTGTTTACCTTAGCGGAATTAGGGAGAAGAGAGCGTAGAGTGGAGAGGTGGGCGTTGATTCGCTGCCTGCGTCTCCTCTCAGCTTCCCTATGACTCTTGCATGCTTCCGTTGATTTCCTCTCCGTCTTTGATCTTCCACCGTCCAATTCCGTTGCCTTGATCAACGAGCTCTCGTGATCCAGCCAGCTCTCGAACCCATAGAATCTCCGAAAAGGAAGCATCTTCCTTCTTCTTGTTTCTTCTTTTGTGAAGAGAAGATTGGTTAGGACGTTGTAAAGAGGAGAACGACTGATATGTATGTAAATGTAATATAATATGTAATGTAGTGAGACTATATGGTTTAGTGTCCGAATATGTACGGAGCTTTCTAGGTAGAAAGTACGTATATGGGAGCCACATAAAATTAAAATTAAAATAAAGTAAGAAAAAAGAAGCGAAGTATTGTGGTATGCGGAGAAGGTAAGCAAGAGTATTAAAGAATGATGAAGCAAACACTGAACTGTTGTGGAAGAATGAGATCCAACAAATACGATGAGAATGGTACCCTTTTTTTTTTTGGAGATGGAGAGCGTTGCCCTAGATGGAAGAAGGAATAGGAAGGGACCTCTGAGAGACCAGGGAATAAATTAGTGCCTGTACATGTGTCTACAGATGGGGACAGAGAGTTGGTCAGAAATGACTTACATCTTTTATTTTTTATTTTTTTCTTGACTTGAAGACAATGAACCATCAAAAGTTGTAGCCTTTTCAATCTGTCTTAACTTTTTGGAATTAATTTGACTGTAGTTTTGAGGCTAGGTGGTTAATTTTAGATATATGGTAGGGGAAAAAATGCTCCATTTAGTAATGACTTGTAATTAAGAAACATTAATTTGATAATCGTGATCTCTGAGGATTTTATAGAAAAGGAATAAAAGAGGTGAGAAGGCCTAACGGATAAGGATAAGGAAATGGGGTGTGAGTGTTAATGGGATAGTGAGTTGTGATCAGTGCTCATTTGTTGTTGGTGATATATGGAGGACAGATAATTATTGTGGTGTTTGGTACAAAAAGGGAAGAAGGGGATGAGCATCATGCAATCATTTTCAAAGGGCTAAAGAACTGTTACTTAATAGACTTATTCCTGAGGCCGGCGCCGACAGCTTTGTTGATGGAATCAAAACGAGACAGGTAGTGAGTGATATGCTGACCCGACAACTTCTTTTGGTTCTCGGATCAGTTGCTCTATATAGAGTATATACACTATCGTCTCCTCTGAGTATCGCTTTCACACGAAACCCCTTTTGTTCCAATGGTCTATTTCCATATCCCAATCCCGTGGACATCCTCCAAAACCAAAAGCATTTTACAATATAATATGAACTCGGCGCGCAGCAAGTCCTGACCTTGGTCTGGCCAAGAAAACTGCTTCTATAATTTGCTTGTTACTCTTTACTTTTCTTGAGTGGGGTAAAAAGCATAAATGCATGGTTTTATATTCATACATGCATGGATATATGTATTACATCTGCATGCATGTTTTTCGATGGTAAACATTCGGGGTACTGCTCAAAAGCTAGTAACTTTTTTCCCCCCCCCTATTTGTGACTGGGCATAAGTTATATATATATAGTAACTTAGTATAATTGTAAACAAGTTCATTATATGTTAATTATCTTACGTCACCTACCTCTATGTATGTATCTTTTGTTTTAAAAAAAAAAAAACTGTTTTATTGATCTAACAATTTTTAAATTTTAAACCAAGGGTTTAAACTACAATGGGTCTATGATGAGTAAGCTATTGGCCATCCTAAAAATGTAGATACATTAAGTTTTGCAAGCAGTTAATATTTGATATCCATATGCATTTTCGTAGAATTGTATCATATTCGCACATACTGCAATTTGGGAGCTTTTATATTGAAATATTCACTTTGCATTTTATATATCGATCGTAAATAACTCACATCATTCTTCTGATCTCACCCCTTATTATATATAAAAACAGTCTTAAATAACTCACTCTCTTTTCTCCTATACAAGAGCTCACTAAGGATAATGCATATAAATATTCTTATTAAATTTCTGCCGACTTATCTTAATTAGGTGAGAATTGATAATCTCATAATAGATAAAGTTGGATACAAATATACAATTGGACATTGGTTATGCGCTGTCATTTTCTTTCTTCCCCACCGATTGGTTTACCACATTCCTTCTAGAGTTTCACTTTGGGTTACTATTTGATATAAATAAATCTGAAAAATGTGCATGTGAATGTGTCGGGTGGACCCCATCAAAGGTAGCAATGAAGAAGGAAAAATCAACATCCCGTGTCAGTGCTCCAGAAGCAAGAGCAGAAGAGACTTCAGACGGTATCACCCAACCCGCAGGGGGCACAAGGCAGATAGCCAGATACAGCTGAACTGCTCAGCTCAACGTACTGTTGCTTAGTTAGCATTAATTAATATTATATAATTAGAAATAACAAATTATATTTATATTTTTTCATGTTAATTTTTTTTTAATATCATTACATTATAATCTCAATTAATAATAGGATGAGAGAGAAAATATGAAATTCAATTAAAAATGTGAATTGGAGAGAAATAGGTGAAATAGGAATAAAAAAAGTAGACATAATATCTATCTGAAACTAATTAACCCAATTTACGTATTTATTTTTTGTGTTTTTTTTTTTTTCCTCAAATAATCGAGTTGGATTCATACTATGATTTTGACATGTCCATAATGCAATGAGCATGTCTCCCAGGCTCGCAATTCGATTCAATCTGCCCCGAATTAAATCAACCCCACTTTGCACTGCTCATTCGACTTTCAGGGGAGCCCCCATCTCCTTTGCCTTTGCATTAATAAATAAAAAGGCAAGGAGAGAGTTTACAAAAAAAAAAGAAGGGGCAATGAGAGAAGCCAAAGAGAATAACTTTATTGTTATGTTGAGTGTATTTTTCATTCACAATGTGATATTTATTTTAATTTTGTCAAATTATTGATGAATAATTTATTTTAAAATCAAGTGAAAATATAATTTAATAAAAAGTAAGACACATGTTATGTTATAAATAAAAAATATATCGAAAATTTAATGCATATATAACACTAAACAACTTTTCGAAAGTCAACGATGTTAAAACTTAGGCCCTAGGGGGTGTGCGAATGTAGATGTACTAGGGTCTGGGAGGAGAGAATTTATCGTGCTCTAGGACTATTATTTTTTAGGTTGTCTTTTAGTGTAAATGGAAGAGCAAAATTAGAAAAGAAGAAAAATAACAAGGGTAAAAAGGAAAAGAAAAAATGAGTGTTGTGAGAGGGAGCACTAAATTATTAGGTGGTCCTGGCATATTAAATATTTTCGTTTGGGAGAGAAAAGTTCTTCCATAATATTGATGACTTCTTTGCGCAGACATATATATATTATTTTTTAGTTTGCATCTCATCAAACCTTATTGTACGAGTTAATCAATCGGTGTGATTCTTGTAATGGATTAGATATGCTATTGATCTGGTATCAATTGTGGAAAAATTACTTTCAAAGTTGAACTTGCTGGGATTCAAACTCAAATCGCATGAGGATGGCAAATAATAACTTACCACTGAGCTACATTTGTTTGTTAATTAATATGCACCATTTAATATATTTATCATATCATTTAATAGAATTGTTTAAAAATTGAATCAAGTGAAGATCGAACCCTTGTTATGAAGATATAAATTATAGTATTTATCACTAGACTACAATTGATTCTTGGTTCACTTGTAACATTTAAAATATTTATTATATAATTGAGTATGAAATATAAATTTATATACTTAATTCAAGTGGTTGAATAAGTGACCCACTACCCAATATCTCGACTAGTTCAATGAACTATCCGGGTTTAATAACATTGCGACACTATCTCTGAGTCCCACGGCTATCTAATAAGCTAATGACTAATATAGTTCTGTACCAAATTAACCACTATGTTATAAACTTACCTTCGTTAGGTACGTAACTTTTATTCAAATATCTTAATTTCTATTGCGTACGGCCTAACTTAGCATTAAAATATATTATAAAATATAATATAAAAATTATTAATGTGACATTCAATTAATAATTTAAATTTTTAGATTAAATTGATTTTTTTTTGCATAATGTTAAAGTTCTCTGATTAATTAGTTATGAACTCATTCTCATTGCCTCTAATTTTATTAATAAATAATTAACTATTATAAAATTTCATAACATTGACATTCACTTCTCAAACTAAAAAAACTTATGTATAAAGAAATATATTAAAAAAATATAATATAAAAAATTCACCTATGACCTAACAACTCAAACTAACAATTAAATTTTCATTTAAAAAAAGAAAAAGGAGATAGAAGAAGGATAAAAAGGTGAGACAAAAGTGTGACTAATCCAGCAAAATGGGGTGGACTGGTACGGCAAAGCAATTTCTTACAGTAAGAAACCTTATGGATGCTCTGATTGAAGTCTGAAAAAAGCTGCATGCGCCCCCTTGTCACTACCATATGTTCGCCTATCATGTGATGTTTCACCAGCAGGGAAAGAGCAAAAGAGAAAGAGAAACAAATAGCAGGGAAAAGAAAAAAACTAACCCAATAGGTATGTTATTGTTGGCAACAATACTAACAAAACTCAAAAAAAAAATAAAAAAAAATGAGTACGATTTAAAGCAAGAACATGACATGGAAGAACACTTATCGGAAAGGTGCAGATTTTTATTAAAATGTAATAATTAATAATGGTGTTATTATGTCCTAAGGGGACATTTGTTAGTAGAGAAAATTTTATTGGTCCAGAAAATAAATATTATTGAAATATAGTGGAAAATATATTTTTGTTGGAATAAGGGTGGGAGTGCTCAAGGCCTTATAAACTCCACATTAGTTGCTCATACAACTAATGTGAGACTATATATCTCAACACGACCCCTCACACGAGAGCCCATTGGACTAGAAGAGTGGATGATGTAACAGGGTGCTAAGAAATTCCACAAGAGAAAGTATGGGGCGGCGAGGTTCGAACCCAGGACACGTGGCTTTGATACTATGTAAAAAACACCACCCCAAAAGCTAGCTCAAAGGTGAGAGTGTCCAAGGCCTTATAAACTCCACATTAGTTGCTCATACAACCACTGTATATCTCAACAGGATGTGAATTTATTTTACAAAAATAACCTAGGTGTACGCTTTGTTTGAAATATTATATTTTTCAAATAAGCTGGTCGACGTCTGTGCTATGAAGGTTAATTTGATCAATAATTTCGTGCACTTTCCCGAGCAAGAAAAAGTTCAATCTAATCCATGGAAATTTTGGCTTCTAGACCGTACCACTGATTGCACATGGGTACTATTGTCGGGAAAAGTTTACACTCTCGATTCTTTTTCATTTTTGAGTACCAAACATGGGTTTCATGTTTCTCCAACCTTGGTTTCTTAGGGAATGCAAATTAATCCGGGTACCAAACACTCTCGTGTAAACCCTTTCAAAAAGAATACTCCATCGTCATTTGGGGAAAAATTAGAAATTTATC